ATCGTAAATCTTCTCGAAACCATCGTTGGCCTCGATCATCTCCACAGAAGCCTTTTGGAGAGCCCTCCCAATGTCCATCCCTTCTTCCACCAGATTACCATACATCTTCTCCATGAGCACCTGAGTGGACTCGTCCTTCACCTCCCAAAGTGATATCACCACGGACGGAACTCCGGAGATGTGGAACGATCTCGGCAGCGCCAGGATTCCCTCGGCAAACACTCTCCCGATTCCTGAGTTGCAGGCGCTGAGAATCGCGGCTGATGCTCGAAACGGACCCTGTTCTGCAAGCTCTACGACTTCATCCCCTGTGAGCCTGTCCGAAACCGACGCTGTTGTGAGAGCTCTCACGAGGCACTCCTCAAACTCGGAAGATCGGGCTGACTTTGCAAGGTCGTCTCGATGCTCTTCCGGCACTGCCAAAACCAGAGCTCCATCTGGAAAGTCCGCGGTAACTGTACCGTGGCTTGCGATGTGAATCCAGTCACTTTCAGGAAGCTGCTGCAGCACAAGATCTTTCGTTGCATCAGCTTCGCACAGCAAGTTGACGACGCTCCCTGCGTTGGCTCTCTTCAGAAACGACTCCACCATCTCTGCTTCTTTCGTTGCATAATACAGATCTTTGCTGGGATTACCAACCACCAGAGATGACGAAGTTTGTGATTTCTGCTTCTGCTGCCGTAGGACCCGTCTTCTCTTGTCACAATGGTTCAAGAGCCTCAACGAGGAAACTGTGGCTACAGCATATCTCTGGATCAAGTAGTTGTTGTCTTCATCCATCAAGGCACCGAAAGGAACGAAGGAGATATCCTACAAGTTTCGCAGCTCTTCAGAGTTTGCAAGTAAAAGAAAAAAAAGATAGATTACCTCGCTTGGAACAAAAACAAGTTTCTTGGGTTGGATACTTTCTAGCTGCGACTCAAAAGGCTCGATGATGATCTTGTAGTAATCCCTGAGACTACTGTCTACGTCGTTAGCATCCAGTAGTTTCAGCAAATCCGATGGCGAGCAAGCTTGAAAGCCGCGTTGGTGTCTGTAGTTGATAAGCTCCCCATTGTGTAGAAGATAGATAACCACGTTGTCGAAAGTTGATGTCGAAATCTTAGATACAATCAAGATGGCTGTTTCCTTTCCCATGATCTTGGAGACTTCTTCAATTTCTGACCAGGCTCTGTCGTCGTCCACGTCGAACTCCATCGAGTTCTCACGATTCCCTTCTTTGCTGACTAGAAACAGCATGTCTCTTGCATGGCTCCTATCAGACCAGATCAGTGCTTGCTTGATCTCGTTGGCTTCCAGTAGGAACATCTGGAGTCCTTTAAAGTAGAGCATGAGTGACTCTATATTGTTGATCCTCCCTATGCTCAAACAGCCGAAGTTTCCATCCATTCGCAGCCAATACCTGAACAAATAAATCTTAGAGCTTCCTTCTCTTTAGAAACAGAGAGATGCCACGAACCTGAGGAGCTCTTTGATTTTCTGGATGGAGTCTGTAGTAAAGCCCATCTTAAACAGCAGACAAGCATGGTTAACAAGAACTGAAGGGACTGTAACACTTGGAGAGATTGAGCGCTCAGCAAGTTGGATAGCTTGTCTCATGAATTCATTGACGAGCAATAGGGGTGGAGAGATCCTCAGTTTAATCGAATATGCATGCGCAAGCTCCGCCATCTTCATCCAAAGTCTAGATTCATATATTTGCAGGCCATGTAGTTCGACATCCCTATTCTCCCGTGTCAGAGTTTGGAGCAAGTGGCCAATCTGTGATTCCTGTTCCTCAAGGTCTCCTTCTTCGTCAAGCTTAATTAATAACTTCAAAATCTCTTTCAGCTCCATCGTTGCCTCATCATACAAAGTAATTCCAGTGGCTGCGCCCATTTGTAAGTTCTTGTTGCACGCCTTGAGAAGGACGACAGCGTCTCCAAAGCTCATCTGTAAGCGATTCCTGCCAAAGAAAGAGGGGGTGTCTCTGTTACAGATATACGTGACCAGTGCTGCAGGGTATGGTGTTTGTAAGGGTTCCAAAAGTTGGCATGACCTCTGAAAATGCCAAGCGGCACCAGAAACATCTCCCCATTCGCGCTTGAGACGTCCTTCCATGAGTTCTACAACACCTTGTCCAAACACCACCAAGTTTGGGAAGCTCCTGTCTGTAACCTTCCGGAGTTCCTGGACGATCCCATTTGCCATTTCGAACAATTGCTGCGATATAAGAGCGTCAAACTGCCGGGCCATGGCGTCCAGGATGAGCTCCTCGTTACTGGCTTGAAGAGCATAGCGTTTCGCCCTCTCCAGATATTCTCGGCTTGTTTTCTGGTCAGTGCATGCGTTGCCTAGTTCAGTTGCAGCAAAGTAACGCAGCATTCCTGTTTCTGCTTGTTCCAGGGACCTTTCCAGAAATCCATACTGTGCTTCGGAAAACTTGCCGTCCAATACTCCTCCTCTTCCAATGTAGTAATCTGTCCAAGCTCTGTAAGTTTCACCGTCTCTAGAGTGTTTCTCGACACATACCATCAGCCGAGAGACCATAGCCTGAGTGTCTCCTTTGGTTTCACGGCCAAGGTAGTCGTTTATGAACACTTGGGCCCAGTGAATGCTGTCCAAGTCACCCATCTTCAAGGCAATCTGATGGCCAAGCACGAGCGGATCAATGCCAGTGACTGAGACCTCGTCATATCTGTCATACATAACTTCTATGCCTTCTTCGATGTGGGACCTTGCATCTTCCGCGTCGACCCGGCCCTCTTGGAGCACTGCTATCTCGCACCTGGCTTCCCTGTACAAGTCGTAGGCAGCAAAGCAGACGTTCAGTGGTGTAGCAGTCGCAAGTGCTGCCAGATCTGGAGATGGAGATGGCAACGTGAGTATGAAGAACTTGGTGAACCTGTCATATCGGACATGGTTCAGGAGGAACAACGTAGAGCAGCAGGACGACGCCAACTTTTCCGCAAGCTTGTCCTTGAGATTCACCATAAAGTTTGCCAGTGTTCTTCTAGCCTCGGCATACACAGAGACCACCTCTTTCCAATCGCCACCTTCCTTCTGCTTGATCTTCGCTTTTATCATGCTAGCCAGAGCTGACGAGATTACCGATCCAGTGAACTCCTGATCGAGAGCGATCTTTGCTTCCTGAAGCTCACCAAGCTGTGACAGAGTCTTCATCATCCAGTACGAAGCTATGGCCCTGTACTCTACATCCAGAGCTTCTGCTGTGGATTTGGCAACTTGGAAGCATTTTAGAGCGCCTTCTCCATCATCCTGATGAATGATTGATCCAAGGCCCATGGCAGCATGATACCTCAGCAAATCTGACCTTGCGGAATCGAGGCAAGAGGTGAACAGTGCCTTTTCCTGATGGCGTGTTGCCACATGAAACGCTGCCAGTGCCTGTGGATCCTCTTCTTGCTGGCTGTTTGCAAAGCACTCCAGCAGAAACACCGAGAGACTATCCGGCTCCAAATCTTCGCTTGAGAGGTGATTGATGACGCCTTGGAGAAGCTTGGTACTCCACAGAAATCCATCGGCATCGCCCTGCTTCAAACAGATGAAATGGCAGTCAGCAAAGATCTTGACAGCAGGCTTGAGATCTTGCTTTTTTTCGGACAACTCTTGTAACAAAAGAACAGCTCGCTTTAGGCAAGACGAACAAGAACTCTCCTCCATCTCTCTCTAACACAACTCCAAATTCCACTGTTAAATAAAAGTTTACTTTGACTTAGCCAACAAAGGTCATTATGTGGCCTATTTCCCCACCTCCAGAGGATCAAGGGTAAAAAGTAAATATACATGGAACAAGTACTCCATATGCGTCCTCAATCTCTATCCACCCCCTCATAATTAATGATGTCCCTGCATAAGCATGTGCTACTTGTAAAGCTATGGTGACTAACCCTCCGTATTAGGGTTGAAGTACATTCGCTAGTTTGCATGGAGGAGCTCCGGGAGTTGTGCCAATCCGGCAAGGATGTGAAGCTGGGCGACGCGGAGGCATGGGAGGATCCATCACAACTCGCAATGGCCAAGCAAATACTAGAAGAACACTTCTATGTTCAAGATCTCCAGGATCCATCCCTCTTCGTCGTGCCCAAGACCACGATTTCTGCTGGATCCCCTTCCTCTGTCCTCTTCCCTGCTTCCATTCCCCAAATCGAGTACACGGCACCGACACAATTCTCCTCGGGCAATCGTAATGCCGGGCATCCAAACTACCGCCTCGTCTATGGCGATGGATCGTCGTGGCAGCCGTGCCATTGCATCCAGCTGGACACCAAGAACCGTCAGTCCCCCCAACCCCATCCACGCATCCAGATCCCAGCCGCGATCCAGCACAAAGTCCGCGAACAGCGCGTGGCAATCACACTGGCCATCCAGCCCAGCGTCCGGATGGAAGAAATGCACAATACAGCACCCCTCACTCTTACGTGGTTGCCCCTTTGCCACGCTCACTCCTTGCTTCCTCCGTGGCGTGCTTAGTCACGCCCAGCTCTGCACCCTAAATGTTTAACGTTAAACTTTAATTAGTAGATACTGTTAACGGATATGTTAAGGACTATAATTTTATAATTAGCCAGTGAATGAACGGCTATAATTTATAAGTATATAACCTACGATTGGTTTAGGTTTTTCCTCATTGTGTTTTATGTTTGTGCTCCTTATATTTTCTTTCTTATTTTATTCATTCTCTTTAGTATTATGGTTAGACTAATTGCTTTGCTTATTTTATTCATTCTCTTTAGTATTGGAATATTCTTTTAGTTTTTGTATTACTGTTGGTCTTCTTCCACAAGAGAGAGAAAGGAAGCTACATTTAATATTCTATGTAGTCATATTAAGCTATACAATCAAGATAATGCTGTTATAGTAGAATAAATAATATATTTGATTTTGTTGAAAATAATATACAGTAATGAGGTGGCATGTGCATGTAAGCAATGAGGTGGCATGCAAATCCAAATAAGCAAACGGGGCCCACCCTAAATAAAGGGGGGTGCTGTATTATGCATTCTACCCGTCCGGATCACCCCTGCCAATGTGGACGTGGAGCTCCGCGTCAAGACCATATCGGTGGGCGTGCACTTGATGGACGTGCTCAAGAACGAGAAGGCGCTGGGCTTCTACCCCTGCCGGATTAGATTCGCGATCGAGCCACTGCTGGGCGATCCCAGCGCCGTCGCGATCCCGCTCTACACGCCCAGGACCGATGGCGGTGGTGGATCTAGCAGCGGGGCTAGCACGAGGACAGGGAGCAGTGGTAAGAAGATCGGCGTCCAGATTGGATTTGGGCCCTTGTCGATCAGTGGCGAGAGGAGCTGGGGGGTGGGATTCGAAGAATCGACGGAGAGGGAGACGATCAGTGCTGGGGATTGGGAGGGCGTGGAGGATGAAATGGGGTCCGGGAACACGGCGGTGTTTGAGTGGAGGCTTTTGCGATGGAGCCACAATGGGGTGAGGTACAATGCTGACAATCCACACTCTGGATTGAGCTTGTCTACCAAGTCTCTTAAGGTTCGCTCCTCCATAGCTAGCAATCTCTCTCTCTCTCTCTCTCTCTTGGATGGATCGCATGAATTTGACTTTTTATTGTTTCCAGGCCCCATTTCCAGGAGGAACCACAGGAATCAAAGTGGAAAGCTTTCCAGACGTCATGTGGCATCTCCACCCAAGCATGAGATCCAAATTTCCGCTCCATTTCAGGTTCCAGTTGGAGGTGGAAATGCATCTGCTGTGGTTTGTGGGAAAGAATCGACTGTTCCGAGTGGCCGAGTGGGGAAGAGAGGCGTTCCAGTTTTGTCACGAGTTTGAAGTCACAGATGGTGTAAACTCCATTGTCACCTGAAAATGGCATATACTAGAATGTCATTGCTTATAGATTTTAAGGCTGTGAAATTTCTTTCTATGTACTACAACCACAGGAGAGTTCCTTTACTTGAACAATGAACATGCAATACCTCCTAAGTTCCTACCATCAGGCATTAGAGTATCTGACTGTTAGATAAATTTAAAACAGTTGACAAAAGTAAGGTTTGAGGGCTATGATATATATGAAGATAATCCACTTAGTCTTCAAGATGGGAACCTTACAGACATATACATAATATCCTATTTGAATTGCTTCTTGTATTTCCAAGAAGAAAAAATCATGGTCATACTCCTTATGTAAATTATCCACAGTCCTTGCCTTAAAATTTGGCCTTACAGTCCTTGATCAAGTCCTTGATCTTGAAGACTATTTGAGTTATATTTTTCTAATTTTGAGAGTTTTCCATAGTTCAGCTTCCAGAAACATGGAAATGGTATATATATACCTTAGAAAATTTAAGGCTATTCTACACAATCTTTGAATGAGCCCTTTCCTGACTTTCATGGCAGCACACAGCCCTTAGCATGCTTGAATGATGCTGAACACATAGTAGCTCCGGACTTCCTGGCATAGGATACCTTAGCATTAAAATATTACGACCTGTTTAAATAGATAAATAAGAATAAGTCAAAATTACTCCCTAATCTCTATTGTGTCATTTTTAAATCTGAGTTTTGTTTTCCTAATGTTAACAATTTCCATAGTTCGAGTATACAATCTTTGAATGAGCCCTTTCTTGACTAAGTCTTACAGTCCTTGACTTCCATGAGTCAACAAAAACAAAAGGGATTCTTAGCTCCAGACTTCATGCCACTAGGATACTTCAGCATTAGAATATTATACTTGGCTAGATAGATAAATAAGAATAAGTCAAAATCATACTCCCCAAAGTCCTTGATCTCAAAGACTATTGGATCATTTATAAATCTGAATTTTATTTTTCTAATGTTAACAATTTCCATAGTTCAGCTTCATGGGAGTATATAAATTCTACACAATCTTTGAATGAGCCCTTTCTTGACTAAGTCTTACAGTCTTTGACTTCCATGAGTCAGCACAAACACAAGGGAGTTTCTTAGCATGCTTGAATGATGTTGAACACTTAGTAGCTTTGGACTTCCTGCCACTAGGATACCTCAGTATTACGACCTGGCTAGATAGATAAATAAGAATAAGCTGAAATAGTTGACAAAATCAAAAGATGCTATATTGCTTAAATATTATATATGAAGATAATTCAAATTGTATTCTTGCATCCATCAGTCTCATGCTTCAAAATGGGCACCCCAAGAATATCAGAACACCTATATGACCCTTGGACTCATGCTTCTAAACCTATGGCCTTGCAAAACTATGTAAATAATATATGAATGAATGATAGATAGATAAATATACAATATGCATGCATATCATCATTGGCGATATGATGGATTATCAACATAGTCAAATATTTGAAATTGCCAGTTTGGTGTTAAGACCCCTAGACTATTCCTTCTAATGTGAGTTCTTAGGGTAATTTAAGCTTTTACCCTAAATCCATTCTTTAATATATCCTTTAGTTTATTTATGACCCTTAGCATCTAACAATTCTTCCCCTCTAATAAAACCTTTATCCCAAGGTAGTGATCACCCTTTTGATCCATTATCCACAACTGTATATATCAAGGAGTCATTATTTTTCATTTCGAGATAGTATATCTTTCAATTGGCTTATATAAAATATTGAATGAATTTTCACTCTAACTTGGCCTTTAGACGATCATGATAGTGGAATATAACTTAATTAATCAACACAATACACATAGCCATTATAATAAAGAATCCCATCCATTAATGAGAAAGACGTTTCCATCTAACTTATGAAAAAACCACCTTAACATTCTAAATTCAAGCATGCTTAACTAAATGTCCACACTTGCTGACCACTTTACTCAAATGATGATAAAACCATGTTTGTAACTCTGTCACATGACAAATATAAAATAAAGCATTTGCCACCACATTTAATTTCCCTAAACAATGTTTAATAAGAAACTCCTTAAACTTTATGAGTTTTACTATTTGCTTAGTGTTCTACTCTTTTTATATGGTTTATTTTTTTGGCAAAATTTACGTGACAACAGTTTTGTGAGGTTTATATAGCAACAATTTTGTGGGATTTTAGGGGGAAACAATTATATGTACAACACTTATAAATATGTTGATATAAAATACATTTTTACATATATCATAAATAAATACATAAAAGGTTTATGATCATCAACACCATAAAGATAATGCTTCCATATCTGCAAACTCTTGCCTATATATGGAATATTATTGCTTTGTAGAATTCAAAATTTAATTCACACTTAGCTGAATAAATCCAAATTCAAGTAACTCCTTGACTTATTGTTAAATTTTTTGCTCTTCCTTATAGCTCAATTGAAATAGACGTCAATAGATTGGCCTCGTCCCTAACTCCAACATAATTTTATATTTTACACCTCATAATAAAAGTAATCTATGAGAAAATTCAGATGGAAAAACATCAAAAAACTCTTTAAATACATTCTGTGCTACTGCCTCTCTCATACACATGCCTTAGTCCTTGAAGCCAGGAATAAATAACAAATAATTCAAATGTAAATAATCCATTATGACAAGTATATTTTAAAGATGTAATGAAGAGCATAACATTTGAAGGCTAAACCCTTTTTCAAACCGCACATCCTTAATGCCATTATACTTTAGTAAAATGTGCTTAATGTTCCACTTTATTTCTGAATCCATCTTTGCTAACCATAACATCCCAAAAATAAAATCTATATAATGAATTTCTGCAAGATAAAAAGTTTTCATAAGTGTAATCTTGCCAACCAACATTTTTAACCTCTCCATATAAACATTGAAATGTTATGAAGGGGTAATTACACCTTCCACTATATATTGAAAAACTTCTTATATAACTAAGTTATGTTCTTCAATAAACTTTACTGAAACAAAGTTGTCATCACTCCCATTAACTAATAAAATTTACATTAGATAACCACAGAACACACCTTTTAGCATCAAAATTAATACACAATTATCCTTAATTTACATCTTATTCCACACATAGCTAAGTTAACAAATAATGATTAAAAACATCTTCTTCCAATCAAAATAGTTTACTTAATCATCTTTATAGTGTAAATTTTGCAACTTCTTAGTATCTATTAAAAGATTGACCATTTTTCTTGTTCTACTATTTATTCTTCAATTGTTGACAATTAATCTTCTAGTGTCTAAACATGTTGCAATGATGATAATTTTGCTTATAATTTTCACAAAGAATTTTATTTTTTCAATTGAAAAACTCTTTCAATTTTTGCAAATTTGTCCTTGTTACTTTTAAGTCAACAAGTTGCATCAAATAATTCCTCAAACTTTTTTAGGTTAGAAATGACATAAATGTTGCTTCATGCTCTTCCATTAATAGAGTAAGACTTGTTCTAATTTGAATTATTCATTGGAACACAACTAATTAAGTTAGTAAGCTTCTTAATATAGTCCTTGAGTGTTATTTTCCTTTGTTAAAATGTTAAAGTTCTATGCAAACATTTTCCATATTATAGTGAGGGGTAAGATATAAATAAGAAGTAGCCTTAAACTCATTGTAGTAGATATTGATAGTTTGTTATCTACAATACAAAACTCTTTAAGCCAATTCCACCATCAAAGACATATATTAAATAAAATCATTGAAATAATAATTAAAGCTTTTGCATATGGAGTTTCTTTGGCAATTAAGAACTTTTTCACATTGGCTAACCAAGCCACAAATTCACACCACTAGCATCAGAAAAAGTTGGAATCTTAATTCAATCTACTAAAGAAGGCCATCACAACAAACTCCTTTAATACCAATGTTAAGACCTAGTTCTAAATAATAAAAATTAAGAGGCTTAGCCTTGTTTTGAAGTTCCTTACCACTTGTCATAAATATGATTATGCGTATTGAAATTATTTGTTAGCAAGTCTTTTACTGCCACGAATGTAAAATGTCACTATTGTTGGTTCCCTTAGTTAATTCATTTTGTTTAAATAAGTATCTACACTTGGTTGGATCTATAATTGAGCATACTTAGCTTAGTTTATTTCTCTTTTGCCTTATCTTGTATTGGTTTGATAAAAACCTTTGCATACTGTGCATCAATATTATTATATGATATCTTATTATGTCTACTAAACAACATTTAACCCATATTAAACACATAGTCAAAGTTGGCCCTTAACATAAAAAGCATTGCAAGACCTTGTAAATAATATATGAATGAATAAATGACTGAAACAGTCACGCCAAGAAGAAAAATCTTCAATGAGGTAAAGGCTTTGTGATTTTATACTCAACAAAGTCTTTGATCTCAAAGACTCCTGAAGATATCCATTCTGAGCATAGCCTCCTAACATGGTGCTCCAAGAAATTTAAATCTCTCTCACTAAACATGTTCTTAGCCACCAATTTAGTTGAATAGAAATTAATGGCTCTACAGCAATGCCATAACTATAAACCAAGTGTGACTTGAGTCTTACCCTCCATGCTGCACTTCCTTGGATTCTCATCTCATCAAACAGAGTTTTCAAGAAAAAAAAAGAAAAAAAAAGAAAAAAAAAATAGCTCACCTCACCTGGAACAAAGACAAGTTTCTTTGTAGCTGTGACTCAAAAAGCTCAACGATGATCTTGTAGTAATCCCCGAGATCACTGTCTGTGTCGTTAGCATCCAGTAGTTTCAGCAAATCCGTTGGCGAGCAAACTTGAAAGCCGTGTTGGTGTTTGTATTTGATGAGCTCCCCGTTGTATAGAAGATAGATAACCACCTCATCAAAAGTTGATATCGAAATCATAGATACAATCAAGATGGCTGTTTCTTTTCCCATGAGCTTGGAGATTTCTTCAATTTATGACTCGTCGTCCATGTCAAACTCCATCGAGTTCTCACGATCCCCTTCTTTGCAGACTAGAAATAGCGTGTCTCTTGCATGGCTCCTATCAGACCTGATCACTGCTCACTTGATCTCGTTGGCTTCCAGTAGGATCATCTGCAGTCCCTTGAAGTAGGCCTTGAGTGACTCTATATTATAGATCCTCCCTGTGCTCAAACAGCCCAAGTTTCCATCCATTGACAGCCAATACCTAGATTGCTACATTGGAAGAGGAGGAGTAGTGGACGGCCAGTCTTTTGAAGCACAGCATGGATTCCTGGAGAGCTCCCTGGAACAAGCAAAAACAGGAATGCTACGTTACTTTGCTGCGAGTGAACTTGGCAATGCGGACAGTGACAAGAAAAAAAGCCGAGAATATTTGGAGAGGGCGAAACGCTATGCTCCTCAAGTCAGTAACGAGGAGCTCATCACCGACGTCATCTCCTGGCAGTTCGACGCTCTCATATCGCAGGATTTGTTCCAAGAGGCAAATGAGATCCTCCAGGAACTTCGAAAGGTTACAAGCAGCTTCTCCAACTTGGTGGTGTTTGGACAAGGTGTTGTAGCACTCCTAGAAGGATATCTCAAACCTAAACCGGTTCGTGATCTCTCTCTGTTTCTGAGGAAGCTCTTAGATTTATTATCTAAGCTCTATTGTTTTCACCGTCTCTGGAGTACTTCTCGACTGATCCACTCGTCCTCGGCCATCAGATTGCTTAGAAGATTGGTGACTTGGACAACATTCATTGGGCCCAAGTGTTTATAGACGATTGAGATCTTTGTCGTACGTAACTTCGATGCCTTCTTCGATATGGGACCTTGCATCTTCCGCGTCGACCCGGCCTTCTTGGAGCATTGTTATCTCGCACCTGGCTTCCCTGTACAAGTCGTAGGCAGCAAAGCAGACGTTCAATGGTGTAGCAGTGGAGATGAAGAACAACATGAGTATGAAGAACTTGGTGAACCTGTCATATCGGATATGGTTGAGGAACAACGTAAAGCAGCAGGACGATGCCAATTCTTCCGCAAGCTTGTCACTGAGATTCACCATGAATTTTGCCAGTGTTCTTCTAGCCTCGGGATACACGGAGACCACCTCTTTCGAATCATCACCTTACTTCTGCTTGATCTTCGCTTTCATCATGCTAACCAGAGCTGCCTGATCGAGAGCGATCTTTGCTTCCTGAAGCTCACCGAGCTGTGACAGAGTCTTCAGCATCCAATACGAAGCTATGGCCTTGTACTCTACATCAAGAGCTTCTGCTGTGGGCTTGGCAACTTGGAAGCATTTTAGAGCGCCTTCTCCATCATCCCGCTGAATGATCGATCCAAGGTTCGTGGCAACCTCAGCAAATCTGATCTTGCGGAATCGAGGCAAGAGGTGAACAGTGCTTTTTCCTGATGGCGTGTTGCCACCTGAAACGCTGCGAGTGCCTGTGGATCCTCTTCTTGTTGCTGTTGGCTGTTTGCAAAGCACTCCAGCAGAAACACTGAGAGGCTATCCGGCTCCAAATCTTCGCTTGAGAAGTGATTGATGACGCCTTGGAGAAGCTTGGTACTCCACAGAAATCCATCGGCATCGCCCTGCTTCAAACAGATGAAATGGCAGTCAGCAAAGCTCTTGACAGTAGGCTTGAGATCTTGCTTGCTCTTGGACAACTCGTCGAGCAAAAGAACAGCTCGTTTCAGGCAAGATGAACAAGAACTCTCCTCCGTTTCTCCCAAGCTTGGCTTATTCAATTGTATAAACTGTTAAATGAAAAATCCTTCCACAATGTTCACTACGTGAAAGAAAACGATGTGAATTAAAAAAAGATGTTGGAAGCTTATCTACAATGGCCATTTTCTGTCCACTTGCTGAAGAAAAGAAGTTCGAGAACGGCAGAGAAACTTCACCAAAATAACGCTTGGAGCGTGCGACTTCATTCACACTGTTGATACTAGAGTTGTGAAGGGACTCCCCGAGACGAAGAAAGCTGCCCAATGCCTCACGTCGTAAAGCTTTTGGCAGCCATCGTCAGCCTCGATCATCTCCACAGCAGCCTTTTGGAGAGCACTCCCAATGTCCATCCCTTCTTCCACCAGATTACCATACATCTTCTCCATGAGCACCTGAGTGGACTCGTCCTTCACGTTCCAAAGTGATATCACCACGGACGGAACTCCGGAGATGTGGAACGATCTCGGCAGCGCCAGGATTCCCTCGGCAAACACTCTCCCGATTCCTGAGTTGCAGGCGCTGAGAACCGCAGCTGATGCTCGAAACGGACCCTGTCCTGCAAGCTCTACGACTTCATCCCCTGTGAGCCTGTCCGAAACCGACGCTGTTGTGAGAGCTCTCACGAGGCACTCCTCAAACTCGGAAGATCGAGCTGACTTTGCAAGGTCGTCTCGATGCTCTTCCGGCACTGCCAAAACGAGAGCTCCATCTGGAAAGTCCGCGGTAACTGTACCGTGGCTTGCGATGTGAATCCAATCACTTTCAGGAAGCTGCTGCAGCACAAGATCTTTCGTTGCATCAGCTTCGCACAGCAAGTTGACGACGCTCCCTGTGTTGGCTCTCTTCAGAAACGACTCCACCATCTCTGCTTCTTTCGTTGCATAATACAGATCTTTGCTGGGATTGCCAACCACCAGAGATGACGAAGTTTGTGATTTCTGCTTCTGCTGCCGTAGGACCCGTCTTCTCTTGTCACAATGGTTCAAGAGCCTCAACGAGGAAACTGTGGCTACAGCATATCTCTGGATCAAGTAGTTGTCGTCTTCATCGATCATGGCGCCGAAAGGAACAAGGGAAACATCCTGCATTGATCATATGAATTTGAGATCCATACAAGTGAAAAGAAGAAAGTTTACCTCGGTTGGAACAAATATGAGCCTCTTGGGCTGAATGCTTTCCAGTCGAGACTCGAGAGGCTTGACGATAATGTCGTAGTAGTCCCTGAGAGCGCTGTCTGCGTCGTTGTCCTTCATGAGCTCCAGCAAATCTGATGGCGAGCAGACTTGGAAACCATACCGTTTTCTGAAATCGACGAGCTCTCCATCATGCAACAGATACGTAGCCACCGAGCTAAACGCTGCTGTTGAAAGGTGTGATATGACTACAATGGCTGTGTCCTTTCCCATGAGTTTGGAGATTTCTTCAACTTCTAACCAGGCTCTGTCGTCGTCCATGTCAAACTCTGTCGAGTTTTCGCGATCTCCTTCCCGGGTGACCAGAAACAACATGTCTCTTGCATGGCTCCTCTCAGACCAAATCATTGCTCGCTTGAATTCGTTTGCTTCGAAAAGGACCATCTGCACTCCTTTGAAGTAGACTTTGATCGATTCTATATTACTGATCCTTCCCGTGCTGACATACCCGAAGTTTTCATCCACTCGCAGCCAATGCCTACGAATGCAACATTTAGAAAGAGAGGAAAGACACAAAATATGAACAATACCAACCTGAGTGCTTGCTCCAACTTTTGGACAGCATCTCTGGTGAAGCCCATCTTCCACAGCAGAAAACCATGGGAGCAAAGAACCGGAGGAACAGCAGTACCTCGCAGAAACGTGGCCTCTGCAAGCTGAGTTGCTTGTGTCATGAATTCGTTTACGAGTGAAGTAGGCGACGCGATTTGATCGTCCTCTTGAGACAAGTATGCATGTGCCAGGTGAGCCATCTTCATCCAAACTCTAGCTTCAAAAACCTCCAGTCTACCATGTAGTTCGATCTCCCTATGATCACGTTTCAGAGCTTGGAGCAAGTGCGCGATCTGTGATTCCTGTTGTTCGAGATCTCCTTCCTCTTCAAGCTTATCCAGCTCTTTTAACGACTCTAGAATCTCGTCGAACTCCAACTGTGCCTCATCGTAGAGCTCAATTCCCAAATGAGGAATTCCTGTAGGAAAGAATGGTAAGAAAGCAGAAGAAGAAAAGAAAAAAATAAAACACGCATACCTTTCGACGAGTTTTTCACAAAATTTTCAATCGCGGTGGAAGCGCTGCTAAAGCTGCGTTGCAAACATGCCCTGCCAAAGTAAGACACTGTGCGTTTGTTCTCGCCGCACATATACGTGACCAGTGCCGCCGGGTATGGAGTTTGTAGAGGTTCCAAAAGTTGGACAGCTCGTTGGAAATGTAGGAAGCTGCCGGAATGATCTCCCCAAGCAACCTTGAGATGCCCTTCCATGAGCGCCACAACACCTTCACCAAAGACCACGCTGGAGAAATGGCTGCTGTTGATCATCTTCTCAAGCTCCTGGCGAAGCTCACTTGCATTTTGGAACATCTGGCGCTCTATGAGAAGAACGAACAGCTCGAGCATGACGTCGATTATGAGCTCTTCGTTGCCGGTTTGGAGAGCGCAGTGTTTTGCGCTGTCCAGGTACTCCTGCCTTGATTTCTTGTCACTGCATGCATGGCCTAGCGTATACGCAGCAAAGTAACGCAGCATTCCTGTCTTTGCCTGTTCCAGGGACTTCTCCAGAAGTTCATACTGTGTTCTGGAAAATCTGCCATCGATTGTTCCCTTTCTTCCAACGTAGTAATATGCCCAAGCCTTGTTGTCTTCGTTCTCGTATTTCTCGAAACATGCTGCCAGTCGAGAAACCATAGCTTGTGTGTCTCCTGTGATCTCGCGGCTGATATAGTTGTCCAGAAACACTCCGGCCCAGTAAATGCTGTCTAAGTCATCCATCTTCAACGCGATTTCATGGCCAAGTACGAGAGAGTCGAGACCAGTGTCATATCCTTCTTCGATATGGGCCCTTGCATCTTTGGCGTCGTTCCAGTTTTCTTGGAGCTTTAGTATCTCCAGTCTCGCTTCTCTGTAGAAATCATATGCAGCGAAGCATACATTCAATGGTGTAGCGAGTACCTCTGGATCTGGCCGAGATGGCAGCATCAACATGGAGAACTTGGTAAAGTTGTCATAGCGAATAAACTCGAGGAGGAACAAGGTAGAGCAGCAGGACGACTCCAACCTTTCCGCAAGCTTATCGTTGAGATTCACCATGAAGTTTGCCAGTGTTCTTCTAGCCTCAGCATACACGGAGACCACCTCTTTCCCAGCTTGGCCTTCCTTCTGCTTGATCTTCGCTTTTACCATGGTAACCAGAGCTGACGAGATTACCGATCCAGTGAACACCTGATCTAGAGCAATATTTGCTTCTTGAAGCTGTGCCAGAGTCTTCATCATCCAGTACGAAGCTATGGCCCTGTACTCTACATCCAGACCTTCTGCTATGGACTTGGCAACTTGGAAGCATTTTAGAGCGCCTTCTCCACCATCCTGCTGAATGATCAATCCAAGGCCCATGGCAGCATGATACCTCAGAAAATCTGATCTTGCGGAATCGAGGCAGGAGTCGAACAGAGCTTTGTCCCGATGGAGTGCTGCCACATGAAACGCTGACAGTGCCTGTGGATCTTCTTCTTCCTGCTGCTGGTCGTTTGCAAAGCACTCCAGCAGAAATACCGAGAGGCTCTCGGGCTCCAAATCCTTTTCTGAAAAGTGACCGATGACGCCTTGGAGGAGCTTGGTGCTCCACAGAAATCCATCGGCATCTCCCTGTTTCAGACAGATGAAATGGCAGTCAACAAAGCTCTTGACAGCAGCCTTGAGATCTTGCTTGCTCTCAAACAACTCTTTCAGCACAAGAACAGCTCGTTTCAAGCAAGACGAACAAGAAGTCCCCTCCATTTCTTGCTCGAATCTTGCAGCTGTATCTATTTGACCCGCAAGTAGCTCTTTAAACTATTCATCACATGCATCGTGCTCAATGCAAGCTTACCCTTTGACTCGGGCGAGAAAGGCTGGAAAAACGCTTCTACAAAGAAAAACAAACGTTGATTGTGAAATGGAAAGATGAAGGAATGAAACCACTTGCCTGGAAGCTTTAGCACAGAACAATGGAAAGGAAGAATTTCCACAGGCTATCGGCCGAGAAAAATGATCCATCAGAATGTCAATGCCTGAACAAAATACGATCTACAAGAACAAATTGAAGATCAGTACCAGCGAAACTTAACATGATCACATCCAAGATCGCATTAAAGCTGAAAAAGCTTTCACAATGCTTCTGAACGAAAAAAAAGAGTTGATCGTGAAATGAGAAGATGGCCAAAGGGCAGAACGATTTTGAAAGGAAGAATTTCCACAGGCTACCGGGGAGAACGATCCATCAGAATGCCTGAAAAAAATAATAAGATTCTTGATCTGCATTTCAACAAAATCCTCCAAAATGCTGCTTACATCCAAGATCGCGAGTTGAAGAGCGCCATTTCGGCCCATGGATGGAGGAAACGAAAATAAAAAGAAGAACCATTTTCATCTTTGTGTTAAGGGGATGTAGCTCAGATGGTAGAGCGCTCGCTTAGCATGCGAGAGGCACCGGGATCGATACCCGGCATCTCCAAATTCTCTTGGAGAGCACCGTTTTGACGACTTGCGTTGACTATACTTGACCAGGTCCACTAGAGGAGTGGAAGAGCCCTAACTTATGATCAAGAGCTTGTCGCGCTTGAATTTGGGATTGGGCGGGCAATGCCGGCGCTCCAGCTGTGAATCCAGGCACGGCGCCCCAGCGGACAAGGTGAGAGTCACAATCTTGGCGCGATTGAGAGCCGCTAGCAGCGCCCGGGATCTAGACAGGGGAAGACTCGCGCACGCCGACGCCATCGCCAGCGGCATCGATTCCAATGCCTTCGTCGCTAGCAGCCTCGTCAACATGTACGCCAAATGCGGATGCCTGCCGGAAGCCCGGAAGATTTTCGAGAGGATGGACAAGCGCGATGTGGTGTCTTGGAACACATTGCTCATGGGGTATGCGGAGAATGGCCGTGGCGACTTGGCGCTGGAGATTTTCTCGCAGATGGACGCGCAGGGCATCGAATTGAACAGGCTGAGCTTCCTTGGCGCTTTCAAGGCTTGCATTGCTGTGGCCGGGAAAGAAGTGGGGATTCTCGTGGATGGAAAGGTCGTGAAGGTCGAATCGCTGGGCATCGGCATGCGTATACACGCGAAAATCTTGAGAAGCTTGAGAAGAAGAGGACGCCATCAGCAGGAAGACGAAGATATCAAGCTTCCAAACACAGTGATCGACATGTACTCCAAGTGTGGGAGCTTGAGAGATGCTTTCATGGTTTTCGAGAGGATGCCATGGCACAGCGTCATCTCTTGGACAGTGCTGATGCTCGGCTTTGTGGAGAATGGGGAGGAAGAGCTGGCGTTGGAGCTCTTTGACAAGATGACAGAGATGGAACTTTTAGAGCCGGACGATCGAACTTTCGTTGCTGCTATCAAGGCCTGTGCTGCTCAAGCCGAGAAAGAAGCTGGAGTGGAGATCAGTGCCAAGCGAATCAAGCTAAAGTTTCTGGAGAAAGGGATGGAGATCCACGCTCGAGCTCGAGCTCAAGGCCACTACGACACGGACGTGTTCGTAGGAAACGGTCTTGTGGATCTATATGCCAAGTGTGGAAGCATGCTCGACTCTCGCCGGGTCTTTGAGAAGATGGTCACGCACGATGCCATCTCCTGGACCTCGCTGATGCTCGGCTACGATGACAACGAAGAACAAAAGTTGGTGCTGGAGCTCTTCGAAGCCATGGACTGTCCACCGACGGTTCTCTCGTTCGTGGCGGCGTTCAAGGCTTGCTCGAGCCTGGCAGCGGCGGAAGCTGGAGTTTCACTGGATGAGAAGCTCGTGGTGAAGCTGGAGATCCTCGACAAAGGCATGGCTCTTCACTCCCGAGCCGAGAGAGCCGGCTTCGACCGTGAGATCCTGGTGGTGAACACGCTGGTGAACATGTACGCGAGCTGTGGAAGCATGGCCGACGCTCGCCGGGCTTTCGACAGATCCTCGCAGCGCGATCTAGTTCTCTGGACGTCACTCATGGTGGGATACGTTCAAAACAGCCAAGGATCACAGGCACTGGAGATTTTCACGCGCATGAAGCAGGAAGTTCGTGGTTTCTCCGCGGATCCTCGGACTTACTGCGCTGCTCTCAAGGCCTGCGGCTCCTCCGCGGGGATCGGACTCGCCACTGCCATCCACGCCGACCTCTGCCGCTACTGGAGCTTCATCGAGCACGATCCAGTTCTCGCAACCACCCTGCTGGATTCCTACTGCAAATGCGGCAGCGTGCTCGACTCCCAACTCGTTTTCGATCTTCTTCCAGTGGCTGACTCGGTTGCCTGGACTGCTCTCGTCGCAGGATATGGCCGCAGGGGAGACACAGCCAGAGTTTTCGCGCTGGTGGACGCTATGATCGAGCAAGGCGTGGAGCTCAACAAGGTAACCTTTCGTTGCGTTCTCACGGCTTGCAGCCATGCAGGGCTCGTCGCTCGAGGGAAGTGCTACTTTGCGAGGATGACGAGCGAGTTTGGGATAGCTCCCGGGATCGAGCACTACGTTTGCATGATCGATCTCTTGAGCCGGGCCAACGAGCTCGAAGCCGCGGTGGAGATGGTGCACAGGATGCCATTCAAGCCCAATGCGATGGCATGGATGGTGCTCTTGGCCGGGTGCCAGAAGTGGAAGAACGTAGAGATCGGGAGAGTTGCGTATGAATCGCTGGTGGAGCTCGACAGGAACAACGCTGCGGTGTATGAGATCATGTCAAACATCTTTCGAAGCACATCAAAAAATTCTCTGGTGGATTGACGTAACCGGCTCTAGTTGACCTGTTTGACAAGAGTTGAACGGGTTTGACCGGCCCGGGCCTTGGTGAGACGTTTTATTTGCGGGGATCGAGGAAGAAGATTTTTACCGCTAGTTCTAAGGATAAGAATTTACGTACAGTGGAAGTTCCAGATCGTGATTTGCTCTGAATCGTCGAGATTGTCTGGCCCGTTGTCTGGGAATTCGTCGCTGCCAGTGCCAGGCCATTCTGGCCGGAAGTCGAGATGATCGTCGTCCCAAGCCACGCTCGCCAGCCAATCCGATCCGGAAGAGCTCCCCTCGAACGATTCATCCACCACCTCGAAGTGCTCCAGGAACTTGGATCCTGGCGGCGGCGCCGGGGCTGCTGGTGGAGGCCCGTGATCGTTGTTGCCAGAGCTGGGAAGCTGGAGGAGACTCTGATGGTGCTTGAAGCTCTCGGTTTGATCGAGGCGAGGAGCTGGAGGGAGCTGGATGGATCCGGAGAGCTGCTGGTAGCCATGGCGGAAATTGGCAGTACTAGTCGAGAAGCTCGCGGACGAGGATGATGCGCGGACCACTTGCGCGGAGCTCAGGCTCTCCACCACTCTGGCGTACATCTCCGTCACGCGATTGGATCGCTGCTGGAGCGAGAAATTCACGGACGAGGCCATGGACGATCGCGAGGCGAGGAAGAGAAGATCCAGTGGCGACGACGGGGACGACGCCGGGGAGAAGGAATTGATCGATTGCCGCTGAAGCTGGAGCTGCTGGTGGTGGCGGTGATGATCCAGGCGATGCTCCAGCTTGAATCTCTTGGCTGGATTGGCTGCCGATTGATCCATCCCTGCCAAGGACGTCGACGATGGATGATCGGTCGTCTTGTTCTTGCTATCGGGGAGATTGAGATGGGCTTCCGGGCCATAGAGCCGCTTGGCAGCCTCATCGTAGGCTCGCGCCGCCTCGTCCGCTGTGGCAAACGATCCAAGCCATAGCCGCGATCGCTTCTTGGGCTCGCGAATCTCCGCGACCCATTTCCCCCACGTCCTCTGCCTCACACCTCGATACGTGCACGACGCATTCTCCGGCCCGCCCTTGCCCCTCATCGATCCCTTCTTGCTGATGATCCCGGCGCTCGATCGATCATCTATCACTCAATCGATCTCCACCAAATCGCCGCCCCTTGTCTCGCGATCGGGGGCAGTGGCGACGCGCTCGCGATCGAGACAGGATCAAGAATCATAGGGAGAATGTGTCGCTGCAGAGAAAGCACCAAGAACAATGGCCCCCTCTGGGCGACTCCAGAAGAAAAAGGGAGAATCCATGTTTCTGACGTGGCACTTTGCGCGAATGGCACGCTGGAAAGTTTCTCTACGTGTCATTCCTTATGGCCTGACACGTCAGGGAATAAGCGCGGCATCTTCCACTTGTCCGCTGATGTGGAGCTAATCATCAGTGCCCGCTTTTTACCCCGCCAGGAGTCACGTTTTTACCCAACGTGTTCACGAGCGCATCAATCATCACATGCATGAATTTCTTCTCTCGAGCCGTATCGCATACATGGTAAATAAACAGTAGATACGCCTGTCAGACCATGGAATGGAATGGTAATTTGGCAACGTAGCGTAGAAGCCCGTCACTGGCCTTCACGGGGGCGGCATCGAAGCACGGGCATGCCCGTCAGTGAAGTTTTATACGATCTTCCCATGGTAACTAAAAGAAAAGGGCCACACGGGAAACGCCGTGACACCGTTGGGAAATCTTCCATGCCAATCTGTAAAGAACAATCGCATTACTACCAAAAATTCTTACTGTACAAATGCGTGAAAAATTCCTTTGTATGAATTTTTTTTCCTTCATTGACGCCTCATTGGCATCTCTTCGCCGGGCGCTTCCACGTCTTGCTTAGAGCTCGTCGGAGAAGAATATATATGAGAGGGAAGGTTGGTGTAAACACCTGCGATAAGAGAGACATGAGATAATTGGCTATGGAAACCATGGAGAAATCTATCATACCCATCGAGTTGTCCTTGCCATAGTCTTTCGTTACGTGCAGCAAATAGGTGCCTGACAGTATGGTGATGAAACCAGAAATCTCGGAGACAATATTTCGAGGGCTCTGTGTATCCCAGTCCTGGAATAGGAATAGCAGCTTGTGATAAAGGAAAACATCGAGTGAACTTCTCACCTTGAACATAATCACGCTAGCAACAATCGTGAACGTCGTGAACATTACATAGTAGATTGGTGACACAACCGCTGTGTTGAATGTGTCAAGAGCCTGGACGAAGCTTTTAGATCTGTATTGCAAGCAATGCAAGAAAAGAATAAAATGCCTTGCCTTGTTGAGGTAGTTCATCTGAGTGACCACACAGGTGACAAGAACCATTCCAAACACCCACGTTTGCGAGTAAATAAGCTGATTAGAGCCCTGGAATGTAAGCTTGATGGCGATTCCCAGAGCTTTTGCACTCATGACCTGGTGTGAGAGCAAGCTCGTAAGTCTAAACCAAAAGCAGAAAGGAAAGAAGAACGCGAACTTACGGAAAGAGATCCCATCAAGGAGCAGATGCCAACGTAGACCATAACTTGAGTTTGGCCGATTCGAGGCACAAAGTGAAACGTGAGCACGAGAACCACAGAAACGACTGCCAGTGCATAAAGCAAAAAAGCTGGGAAGCAAACGAGCTGGTTAGTTATTTCCACCTAAAAGGAAAAAAGAAAAGAGAAAAAGAAAAGAAGAGAACTTAAATCTACCTGGTTCTGTAGCAAGTTGCCAAACTTCGTCCACTGAATTCATGATACGTTCTTCGGGAGCATTTAAGACAATCCCCACGGATCCAACCACACAGAGAAGACATCCTAGAATTCCCAGTCCAGCAAGCTTCTCCTTGAGCATGATATCCGCTAGAATCGCACTGCATATCACAAACCAGCGAGTTATAAATCCAAAAACTAGTGGCGATCGTCTCGAGCAGCATACACACCTGACGATGATGCTGAGTGCTCCCAAAGGAGTGACGAGAACCGCTGGTGCAAATGCATAGGCAGCAAAATTTGCAATCTCGCCGACGATCACTGCGAAAAAGAAATTCACGCATAGGTTAGTAGAGAAGTTTAGAGTTTTGCTGCTCACGTACTCGTGATCATGCCAGACCACCATAGCGGCTCCAATAAATAAGAATAACCTCCCACTCCTGCAAGATTTGGTTTTAGATCGAATGTAAATTCAATCCATGATCGAAGAAAACTAAAGATAAAACCATGGAGGTACCTGCTCGTACTCCTGAGGCGCCCGCTTTCTTCAATCCCTTCTTCTTCATGATAAAGCTGGAGCCAATAAACACACTAGACGAAAGGGCTAGAATGAGCCCTACGTGATTGGTCTCTCTCCTCACCGGCTCTTCCACAACATTACCAAATTCCAATCCCGCCATAGCTGACCGACGATCGCTTGCTCGCTACATCCTGATCGATTCACCAGCGTCTGGATCTCGGTGGATAGATCCAATCCATGGCGTCCTAAAACCCTTCCCTGCTCGAATGCTGACCGATTCTCCCTTTCCTTGCCTCGAATCTATTGCGCCAGGATGGATTGGAGCTCCGCGCACGCAGCGATCATGGATTCACGCCTCGTCCCATAGCCGCCCTGTGAGAAAGTTTTGAGTTCTCTACGATCGTACCTAGCTGTCCAGAAAATAAAAAACGACTATTAAAAATTTCGAGGAATATGCTTGCATGCCGCTCCAAAAATTCCCTGCGGCCAAGATTTTGCCACGTGGAGTTAAAGCTGGCGGGAAAGAAATTTGAAACATTAGGGCTCTTGGGACATAAATCTTAGGGCACATGGAAGTGAATGAGGGTTTGGCTGAAATGCTCGGCGACAGCAACGCGATTCGGGGCGGAATTTTGGATCCAGCGATACGATGTGAGTGAAATCTGTGCTCTGCGCTCTTGATCTGTCGCTTTTCTGTCCAGTGGTACGCTCTCTCGAGGCTGAGATCGTTCCTCAAGTACTCCGGCAATGAGGCCGCCAGGGATGGGGATAATCACGCATTGCAGAACGCACCCGGGATTCCGGAGCTGCTGGTCGCATCTAAGGCCTGCAGCTGCTCCAGAGATCTCGAGATCGCCAGGAAAATCCACACACAGGCGTGTGATGGATCGAACATCTACTTGGCGACCAGCCTGGTGGATATGTTCGCCAAATGCAGGAGCATGATCGATGCCTGTGCCGTCTTCGACCGGATGCCTTGTCACAACGTCGTCTCGTGGACAGCGCTAGTTCTTGGGTATGTGGAAATTGGGAAAAATGCTGTGGCTTTGGAGGTTTTCACGAGAATTGCTGCTCCAGATGCTTTGAGCTTTGTTGCGGCACTGGTTGCTTGCGCGAACTTGGCTACGGCTGCTTCGGACGACGGTCACCAGCTCAACCAAGACAAGCTCCAGTTCTTGGAAACGGGAATGGCACTTCACTCCCGAGCTCTCCAAGCTGGTTACGACGAATCCATTGTTTCGCTGGCGAATACACTCATCAGCATGTATGCCAAGTGTGGAAGCTTGGTCGACGCAAGGATGGTTTTTGATCGGGCTCCGCAGCACACTGTGGTGTCTTGGAACGCATTGATAGCTGGATATGTTGAGAACGGAGAGGAGGAACTGGGATTGGAACTATTCTGGTGGATGGTCCAGCAGCACCAGCATTGTCTACCGGACTCTCGGACACTTGTTGCTGCTCTTACAGCTTTCACCAGCTTGGTTTCAAAAGAAGACGGTGTTAAAGTCGATGGGAAGTTGGTCAAGCTCAAGGGAATGGAGCAAGCTATGGCGATCCACTCTCAGGCTGTACGAACTGGACAGGACAAACAAGTTTATGTTGCGAGCAGTATTATCAACCTCTACGCGAAGTGTGGGAGCATGGTAGACGCGATCTTGGCTTTCTACAGGATGGAAACTCGGGATGTAGTGTCCTGGACATCACTGATACTGGGATACGGGGAAAGCGGGGAAGGCGAACTCGGTCTAGAACTCTTTCGGCAGATGCAAGCTCAAGGGTGTTATCCCGACGCTCGGACTTACGTTGCTGTGCTGAGAGCATGCGGGGATTGTGCGGACCGAGACGAGAATGTGACACAGGTTGATGGAAAGCTGGTGAAGATCACGAGCTTGGAAAAGGCATTTCCTCTTCACTGTCAAGCTTCCAGGGACGGCTTCCTGGACAACGTATTCGTGGCGACTAGTCTGGTGGACGTCTATGCAAAGTGTGGAAGCCTTCTGGACGCTCGCATGGTGTTTGACAGGATGCAGTATCACAGTCCTGTGTCCTGGAATGCATTGATCCTGGGTTACGCCGAGAATGGTGATGCCGAGGTGGCCCTCGACATATTCTCGAGAATGAGAGCTCAAGACGGCTGCGAGGCAAACGACTCCCGAGCTTTCGTAGCGGCTTTGATAGCATGTGGGAGTCTGGTGGCACTTGAGCTTGGGAAAGTAGTTCATGGCGAAGTCCTTCGGCTTGGACTCGAGACAGATACTTACGTTGCCAATTGCTTGGTGGATTTCTACTCGAGGTGCGCTAGCATGGCCAGTGCTCATCGAGTGTTCGAGTCCATCAGTAGCAGCAGCAGGAACTTGGTGACTTGGAGTGCGTTGATGTGTGGCTACAGTCGTCGCGGGAAGACCGACATGGTATTTTCACTGTTTGAAATGCTCAAGAACGAAGGACACCGCGCAGATGGTATCACCTTCCTCGCACTTCTCACTGCTTGCAGTCACGCTGGTCTTGTAGAACGAGGAAAGAGGTACTTCCAGGAGATCCTCTCTTCACAGGAGACCAAGCCTTCAGCTCAGCACTACGACTGCATGGTCGATCTTCTAGGCCGGGCAAATTATCTCGACGAAGCAGTACTGCTGGTGAAGTCCATGCCTTACAAGCCGAACGTGGTAACTTGGAACGCTGTCCTGGGAGCCTGTCGGAAGTGGAAAAATGTGGAGCTTGGGAGGCTGGCATTCAATACACTGGTGGAGCTCAACGAGAAGCAAGCGTCCACTTATCTCACCATGGCAAGCATCTACGGAAGCGTTGGTATGTGGGAGGAGCAAGCCAAAATCTTGTCCATGAAGCGGCTCGCGAGGCCTTGGAAGGAGCCTGGTGTGAGCTGCTGGACGGATCATCATGGTGTGGTACACAGGTTCAGAGCTGGAGATTGCTCGCACGCTCAAAGTGAAGCTGTTGGAATCAAGCTCAAGCAACTACTGGTCCGAATGAAGGAAGGAGGCTATGTTGCCCAGCTAAGCAGTATTTCCTGTAACGTCTCGGACTGTCAGAAAGAGGAGGCTTTGTGCGAGCACAGCGAGAGGCTAGCCATTGCTTGTGCACTCATCAATACCGCTCCAGGTGCAGTCATTCGGATCGTAAAGAACTTGAGAGTTTGTGACGACTGCCACCAAGCGACTGCCGTTATCTCGGCGATCGAGCGGAGACGTATCATCTGCAGGGACTCGAGTCGCTTCCACGTCTTTGAAGGTGGGAAGTGCAGTTGTGGGGACTTTTGGTGATCCTTGTTATCTACGTCTGTGGAGTAATGGGCGGAGGTGGCAATCTAAGCTATCGCTTTCCAAGGTATTTTGTGACGTCTCTGGCTTTTAGTTTTTCACTTTTGGATCCATGGCAGGCATTGAAATTGAGGTTTGCAAGACCAAGTACATGGTAAAGCTAGAAAGTTTCCCGGGGAAAACTAAGGGGAACAATTTCCTTCTTGATGAAGAGTCCGCAAGTTCTCGTAAGTTCTTTTTGGTTGCATGGCTCCTTGGTAATAATGTGTCGATTGGAGGCTTCAGTTGCGAGGATCTTTTGCTGTGGAAGATGGATTTCAAGGCGTAAGCTGTTTGTATCTTTTATTTTCTAATTTTTGTTCACAGTTTATCGCTCAGCTTTCTAAAAAGCTGTTAAGTTCCCTCCAGAGAGTAGCTTATGGTTCTTTGCAGGTTCATTATTTGTGATGGCGTTCGTCCACTCCACTAGCTGCAAATCCCACGCATGATGGAAGCATTACCGGAGATAAGGTACACGGACGATCTTCCATAGTACGTAGCTCTCCCGCACCGTGGCTGCTCTCGAGGTAGGCCTTGAGCGAAAAAGGATATGGTGTCTCCAGGGACTCCAAGAGATTGATTGCTCTCTCGAAATGCAGGGATGTCTTTCTGGGGAATTCTCCCCAGGCTATCATGAGAGACCCTTCCATGTACTCCGCCGCGGCCTGTCCGAGTTTTTGGTGCGCAAAAGCGCGGCTTATTTTTTTCATCTCTGTTTGGATTTCGTGCGCCTTTTGGAACATCTGGTTCTCTCGGAGTGAATTGAACTGCTCCATCATCGCGTTTATTATAAGCTCCTCCTTTCCGGTTTGGAGGGCACACTTCTTGGATCTCTCCAGGTACTCGTGAATGGTCCTTGCTTCGTATGACGCATTGGCCAGTGCATATGCCACAAAGTAGCTTAACAGGGGTGTTGTTGCTCTCTCCAGGGACTCCTTCAGGAACTCGTACTGCTCATCTGAGACTTTACCGTCCGTTGATCCCACCCTTCCCACGTAGTATTTCGTCCACGCCTCTTGGTCCTCACCGTCTCTGGAGTGCTTCCGGAAGCACGCAACCATGCGAGAGATCATTCCTGGCGTGTCACCTTTCGTTTCTCGGCCGATATACTCGTCGAGGAACGTCCCGGCCGCCCAGAGACTGTCCATATCATCCATCTTCACAGCGATCTGGTGAGCGAGCACGAGAGAGTCAATGGCGGTGACAGAAACATGGGCGGCGTTCTGGTACATGACCTCGATTCCTTCTTCAACGTAGGACCTGGCATCTTCAGCATCGCTCCAGCCTTCTTGGAGCTTGACTATCTCCAGTCTTGCTTCTCGGTACAGATCATAAGCAACCAAGCAGGCCTTGAGTGGTATACCAGGTACTTTCTCTTCTTTTGGCAACATGAGCATGTAAAACTGTGCGAACCTCCGATATCTAGTGTAGTTCAAGATACACCGTTGGGAGCAGCACCTCGATCCTAGCTTCTCGTCAAGCTTAAGTTTGACATTTACCATCAGCTTTACAAGCTTTCTTCTAGCAGCCGCGTATGTAGCGACAACTTCCTCTCGCGGTTCGCCTTCTTTATGCTTGATTATTGCGCTGACCATGTCAAGCAGAGCTGCTGAGAGCACAGATTCTTCGGTAGATACTTCCAGGCAGAGAGTTTGAGCGTCTTCTATCTCGCCAAGCTGCACCAAAGTCTTCGCGATCTGGTATGAAGCAAAAGCCTTGTATTCTATGTATGCCGGCTCCAGGCTTTCGGCAATGAACTTACTAACTTGGAACCATTTCAGAGCGTCGCGGCAGTTTTCATCATTTCGCTCTTGCTGTTGAATCACCGATCCGAGTCCCATCCCAGCATGGTACCTTAGTAGATCGGAAGTCGCAATGTCGAGGCAAGAGATGAACCAAGTGGCACCAAGATGACGACTTGCCACATGAAACTCTGCCAGTGCTCGTGGAGACTCCGACTCCTGGTGCTGCTTACCTTCATCTTTGTCAGCAGTGCTTTCAAAGCATTCCAGCAGAAACGCATACAGATTATCCGGCTCCAACTCTTTCTCCGTGAAATGGTTGATGATGCCTTGGAGGAGTCTGATACTCCATTGAAG